GTGTTTGGGGTTGGTTGGGGTGGTGGTTGTGGTGTGGTGGTGGGGGCGGGGGCCCGTGCTGCGTGGGCTCGTGCTGCTGCGTGCGTGCTTTGCGTGCGGCTGCGGCTTGCGTGCGTGGCGTGCCGTGCGTGCGTGCGTGCCGTGCGTGCGTGCCGTGCGTGCGTGCGTGCGTGCTTGCGTGCGTGCGTGCGTGCGTGCGTGCGTGCGCGCGTGTGCGTGTGTGTGCGTGTGTGTCTGTGAGTGCGTATTTGTGTGTGTCAGTCACTTGCTGTTTATCCTCACAGCTTGGGGACAGGAGCTATCATTGAACCTGGTGGTCAGTCTTTAGGCTGCTGTACAGCTTGATGGACCGTAGAGGATTGAACATTTATCCTCCTATATTTGGGGTTCTGAGAATAAAACAGCTTCAGAACAATCAATATAGAAATATGTGTTTACAGTACTACAGATCTGTTCAATGTGATTGTTGTTGTTGTTTATAATGACGATGATGATGTTGATGATGATGATGATGATGATGACTTTATTTTATCCATTAGGAAATTATTTGTTGCATCATACAGCATGTGAACTTAAATAGACAGATGTAGACAGACATGAAACACGTCACACACATTACATACATAGTGCAATAGAATTACAGACAGACAGTATTCACATAGATAACCACATAGCACAATACAACACAACACAATATGAGCCTGGTTCATTTTCAGTAATGAGGCCCTGTACCCCATTTACAGTTTATACTTCAATGTATCAGGTGTAGTTATTCACCAGCTATAGAGTGAGTTGTTGTTTATGTTTCTAAGACTGCAGGGTGGGAGATGCAACAATGGCCTTGAGAACAGCAGGAAGTGTGTTGGTGGTCTTTCTCTGGTCTGTAGCAGGTATGGTCTCATTCTTATCTTTTAGTTGCTCTGTTTAACAATCTACAGACATTTCTAAAAGGATAAGAATCATAATGTTATTCTGGTGTGTTCTGTAAGGAGTCTCCACTTCACTGTAAATAGTTATATTTCACACCTCACTGAGTGATGCTTATCTGTGGTTTCCATTCACACTCAACTCAGCAACTACGGCAAGAAAGTGTGGACAAACCCTACTGTCAGTGTGAGCCAATAGACCATGTCCTAATTCTGATACGATTGTGTTGTGTGACTGTGTTATAGTGGTCCTGGGTCAGGATGGCTGGAGTGTGACATACACCACTCAGAGTATCTGTACCTTGAAGGGGTCAACAGTGGAGCTGTCCTGCTCTTACACATATCCCAGTGGTACAGTCACAACAACCTTCTGGTTCACTAAAAATAATGTGTGGAATCCTGTGAGTCTGATTGATGACCCAGACTATAAAGGTTGTGTGATGTACCGTGAGGAAGAAGAGAATGGTCATACCCTGACAATCACAGACCTGAGAGAGAGTGACTCAGCTGAGTACAAGTTCAGATTTATAACAGATCAGAACGGAGGGAGATATAGTGGCTATCCTGGAGTCACTCTGTCTGTCACAGGTACAGTTACATTCAATAAAGCTAAACTATTGAATTCCATTTAGTTCAGGAGAATTGTCTTGGTTTGTATTTATATCTGTATAACATAGGATCTCTTCCATCTTTGTATTAGCGTGATAAGTCAGTGATAAAGAGATTTACAGTGATGTTGTTTTTCTCCAGGTCTTCAGGTGAAGGTGACTGGTGGACATCAGGATAAGACAATGACCTGTAGCACCACCTGTACTCTGACTGGTAACCCCACCTACATCTGGTACAAGAACGAACAACATCTAGATGAGAGCACCTCCCCCCAGTACAAAGACCCAGTCTCCAGTAACAATGAAGACGGCTACTCCTGTGCTGTAAAAGGCCATGAGGATCTCCACTCTTCTTCAGTGTGTGAGTGGGAATCTAATATGTACTCTAATACAGAATTTATACGGAATGTTTGTACTACGTCCTTTTGGTCTCACTGTGTAATTTGATAAGTCTCGGCTTTTATGAATATAACTTCAAATACAGTATAATATGGTTCCATTATATTGCAGGTGACCAGGGTCAGGACTGCAACAGAGTGAATTACACTAAGAGGAGAATATGTGCATTGAAGGGGTCATCAGTGAACATATCATGTACTTATGGCAGTGGTTATGATACCGTCACATCATCACTCTGGTTTAGTCCTAAACAGAGTGCTAGGTGGAGTGATAAGTTGATCCCTGAGGACATAACCACAGACCCAGGGTATGCAGGTCGTGTGGAGTATGGTGGAGAGAAGGAGAGAGGTCGCTCCACCCTGAGAATCACAGACCTGAGAGAGGACTCAACTGAGTACAAGTTCATATTCAACACACAGACATCAAGATGGGGATACAGCTTCCCTGGAGCATCTCTGACTGTCACAGGTTACACTGAACAAATGATCATACTCATAGATTTATATTCACTGTTGGTTTCTTTTTATTTTATCCATAATACTTGACTGGTTTAATTATGTTATTGTAATTAACCCTGTATTCAGACCTGCAGGTGAAGGTGACTCCTGCCACAGAGGCAGGGAAGAGGACACTGACCTGTAGCACCACCTGTACTCTGACTAACAACCCCAACCCCACCTACATCTGGTACAAGAATGGACAGAATGTAAAGGAGGACTCTTCCAGCTCGTACTCAGACTCCTTTAGTGATGCAGACAGTTACTCCTGTACAGTAAAAGACCATGAGGGTCTCAGCTCTCCTTCAGTGTGTGAGTGTGGACTTTTTTATAAAAATGTCATACAATTTAGTTTCAGGTTGTGAGACTTATGCGAATTAAGCAATTAATATAGATAATTATTCACTAATTATGGTTGTCACGACTTTAAACTGTTAAACTTGTTTGTTTTTCTACTTTACAAAAACCATCAATGTATACCGGTAAGTATTGTAATTAAAGATTTATATAAGGTGTTATATTGTCTTTTTGTATTTCAGGTCAGAACTGTTGGAGTGTGACTTACACCCATCAGAGGATCTGTGCCTTGAAGGGGTCAACAGTGGACATATCCTGCTCTTACACATATCCCAGTTATCATGAGATCAAAAAAGCTTTCTGGTTTACTAAACGGTCTGGTATGGATGCTGAAGACCTGAGCTCAGTGCCAGGGTATGAGGGTCATATAGAGTACCTTGGGGATAAGAAGAGTGACTGTACCCTGAGAATCACAGACCTGAGATTGAGTGACTCTGCTGAGTACAAGTTCAGATTCATAACATCCGGAGGAAAGTTTGCTGGCTCACCTGTCTCCCTGACTGTCACAGGTAATCTGTCACACATCTCACATCTATTACTGTAATTACCTTATTAAGGGCAGTCATACAGACACAGTAGTGGTTTGTGACAGAAAAAACAAATCTAGTATATCAAATAAGAGGACATATATAGGAGGAGAATAATGATGTGTTTCCTTTTACTCTAGATGTTGTGTTGGAGATGGATCCTACATCTGTGTCAGAGAGGGAGAATGTCACACTGACATGTAGAACCAAATGTACACTGGACCCCATCACAGCCTACAGTTGGTATAAGAATGGACAGCCTATACCAAACAGCAACACCTCCTCTCCTGTCTATAGACTATTCCCAGTCAGCAGTGAGGATGCAGGCAGATACTCCTGTGCTGTAGAAGGCCATGAGGATCTCCCCTCTCCTGAAGAGACTCTCACTGTCACATGTGAGTACATGGGGTTTAAATCTTTAGTTTGCTATGTTAACATTGTAGTGACAGATATTAGCTCCACTTGCTACTTGAATTGATCATCTTCAATAAGAGGGTGAATCTAAATGTAATTGTGTGGAAAAGTACAATTATGGAAGGTTTATATAATATTTTTAACTGACCTAATTTGTACTCTTACTAAATCCACTGTCTTTTACATCAGATGGACCAAGGAACATCTCAGTGTCAGTCAGTCCCTCTGGTGAAATAGTGGAGGGCAGTTCAGTGACTCTGACCTGCAGCAGTGATGCCAACCCACCTGTGGACAAATACATCTGGTACAAGAAGAACGTAACCTCACCAAAAGCATCAGGACAGATTTACAACATCACTAACATCAGCTCTGAGGACAGTGGAGAATACTACTGTGAGGCCCAGAATAAAAGAGGATCTATGAACTCTGCAGCTCAGATGATCATTGTAGCAGGTAAAGTTCCATCTTCAATATTTCAATACAATATTATGTTCAATAAGAAATGATGTTTCAAGGTAATCTTCTTCTAGTTTGCCTTATTACACTTTGGTTTATAACTATGCATAGGCTTATATATACAAGTATTGCATTATTGTCCTGTATTGCCGTATATTCATTTTCAGTTTATAATAACATGGACTTATATCATCTATATCATATTTTAGGGAAACAAACCTCAGTTATGACTCCAGCTGTAGGAATCATAGTGATTGTTCTGGTTCTCATACTGGCTTCATGTCTCTCTGGCTTCATGTGGTTAAGGTGAGTGAAAATGCAGATTTTAAAGATTATTTCACTTTATTAACTTCATTAACTCATTCATATATTCATTCATTCACAAAACAGGAAGAAAGCATTCAAAACCA